ATATTTGTCCACTAACAAGTTATGAAGGCTATAGAACATTGTTGGGGTCATTCTAAACATGTTGTAACAAGAATTAATGTTGGCAAGCTTATCATGCACGAAACCACTCACTCTTGGCGAGCCCTATTCATATACTTGTTGAGAACAAAGCTGGTACATACCATAGAGAAACTCATCATCCTCGTCATATTCATTAGCTCTTCCATCAACTCATCATCATCATCATCCAATATCATCTGCAAGAATCGTTGTCTTCTTGTATCCTCGAGCTGTCATGGACGGAGAGAGAAGAGCAAGTCGGTCATTTGATCAAACGATCCATGAATCCCATGCATCACTCCCCGCCATCCCACATGATATATAGACACATATATCCATTTCACAAGTTAATATATACAAATAAACCCATCGTACATGCATAACAAGTTCAAATTTAATGACACATCACAACAGGACACAACAAGTTCTCTACGCGCACCAAATGCCCTACATGCAAATAAGGCTAAGTTTTATTAAGATTGCATCTTCCCTTCCTTAGTGTCTTGGGCAAGGAAGAAGTCCATTTCATTGACACTAGCTTGTGCAACCAGAAAACAAAGTCTTCGTTGTACCTATCGATGCCCAGCTCTTGTAGAGCTATCCGGTGCACTCTGTTATCTTCTAGGACTTGTCCTTAACTAATCTCTGCTCTCTCTATCTTTGAAGCTGTAGCCTCTCTCTCGCTTAAGTCATTGTGTGTGGTCATTTGGATGGTCATTGCCCTCACAAATGGGCTCTTTGACCTCTTCTTGTCAATCGATGCCCCACCGCTGGTCCTCTTGTTTCCAACACTCATACGGATTCTGTCCTCCCTGCTCGTGTCTCGCTTCTTCATCGTAATCATCATTATTCAAGTCAATGGTCTCTCTTGCAAAGAGAACAAAGGAGGTTATCCCATCCTCCGTGTTTCCTTTGAACAATTTGGTCCAAGTATGCGGACACACCTTCCTTCTAATCTTCAAACAAATAATATAGACCGATGTAGTTGTCAAGCAATTAGAGAATTAACATTTGTTAATAACAGAGCAACCTATATAACAAATTACCCGAGCATTGTCACTCCACCATTGGTGAAGCATGAATCTTTCCATCTGCATCTATACCTAAGCCGGTGTGGTTTTGTGCTTTGTCACACAATGTCCATATTTTTCTCGAGTGTCCTCACTTGCCTTGAAGTCGTTTTCTTCATCATGCATCAATCCTCGATGCTAAATAATAGTGTCACGAGCGACGTTCTTCCACCCAAATTTGTTCATGTCCTCCGGACAGTTCCCAAGCATGTATCTAGCAAGGTAGGAGTCAAGAACTTCTCTATGTTGTCCGGTAACCAATTTGCTTTATGCTTACGAACCTAAGCGGTGAAGAGGGACAGCAATATTGAACAATAAACACCGACAAGCTTTAACAATAGACATGCAAATTTGAAACTAACAAGCATACAAGAACAATTCATAAACTGAGCTTCTAACAGATCAACATACATGAACATACTTGAACAATACACATAGGCTAACAATAACGAGCATACAAGACCAATTCAAAAACTAAGCATCTAACACATCAAGATACATGAACAATTCATAAACCGAGCATCTAACAGATGAACATACATCAACGTATTTTGAACAATACACATGCATTTAATCGAGCTTGTAACACATCAACATACATCAGATACTTGAACAAAAGACATGCATCAGAGAAGGTGCTTGCCGGGTTAGGGACAGCGTAGGAGCCGTCGAAATTGTCGCCGTGGATGGCTGGCCCCGGCCCCCGTGCAATCGACGGATTGAACCGCTTCTGGACGTGGCGGAGGAGAGACGAAGCCACCTACGGATGCGGGCGGACCGTCAAGGCAAAGACCTTCGCAGCTCCACTCCACCTACTCCGGACGTGGCTAGGGCGGCGGAAATCGAGGCTCGAGACACGCCTACCGGGAACGCGAACGGGAGGCAAGACGCCCTGGGCTCCTTGAATGTGGTCCGCGTCGAGTGGTAACGCCGGAGAGGCCGCCGTTTAGGTCAAGGCGGCCCATCTTTCGTTGGGGTTTCGGTGGTCTGCTGGACCCGACGTATAACGAAGCCGAACCGAAGCGTCGTTGTAGATTTAATTTCGCGCCGACATTACCCAAGAAATCCAGGTAAAGCCGGCGTCGGCATCCCGCATCGCGCGGGCTCGCCATGGAAGTCGTCGCCATGTCCTGCCATCGAATCCGCGCAAAGGAACTTGTCGATCCGGACGACGGCGGGGTAGATCTATAGGTGGAGGTGGTGGATCTGAATGCCGGCGGTGGAATGGAGCGAGTGCGGCGGCGCTGGGATGGCGAGGACGAGAGCGGCGGCGTTGCGATGGAGACGGCGAGAGAGGCGCGGATAGGGTTGGGCGAGCAAGCTGAATGGATAGGGTTCGGCGCCATTTGCGGGACGGAGGGATAGGGTTGGGCACGCAGCCACGGCCAGAAAAACCAATTCAGGAGCACGAAATTTTTCGGGCCTGTTTAGTTCCCAAATGTCAAAACGCCAATTTTTTTGCATTTGGCCAAAAAAATTCGTGAACTAAACTGGGACGGCAGGAGAATGCGCCCTCGCTGAGTGCACGTCCACGAACCACGCACCATGCCCCCGTTGCCTCCGCGTCGATCGATCTAGCTCTTGCAAAACAAAACTTGCATTGTACCATTGTTCGCTTAAAAGTTGCAAGGTTTTTTTTTATCCTCTTTTTTTTTTTTTCATTTCCGTCTGTTCTTTTCTTTTCAAGGCGTCATTTTTTTTCTTGCTGTCTGAATTCAGGCAAGCTGTCCTTATTCTCCTTTTTGGCGAAAAGCTGAGTGAAATGACACCTAGTTCGTTCGTTACACAGTTGGTGGCCTGCCGCGCGCGCCGTCGAATCGTGTGATGGCAATGGCGCTGGCGCCGATCGAGCCGCTGCTGCTGGAGTGCTCGTGGCGTGGGCGTGCAATAATGGAGGCGTACGTACTCGGCGGCACGTTGCGACACTAGCTTTTCGTTGGCTCTTGATCCCTGCAGGTAGCCTGAGGCAGTGAGGCTTGAGCTGAGCCCATGATCCCTAGCCATATATATAGATCTCTCTATACTACCTATCTCGATTCTCGATTCCCCTATATATTAAGATTAATAAAGAGGCCGTCCATTGACAGCTTTGTTAGCACTACCCTCCATGCTCTTCTACTTATGTTTTTTTGCTCTGTCTTGCTTTTTTTTTTCGTGGGTCTTGTGGTAATCTTTGAATTACTTGGGCTCGTCTTGTACCGAAACTTCTATTCCTTAAGAAATACATGTGATACAATCGTGAAAAAAAATCCTCCATGCTCTTCTAGTCTTCTTCTTCTCCCCCAACTAATCGCTTTATTTGACTTTTCTAAATTAATGCTATACTCCTCCGTATTAAATATAAATTGTTTGTATTTTTTAGTATATAGTTTTTTATGTGTATATCTCGACATATTATATATTCAGATGTATAGCAAAAAAAACTATAGATGTATTATCTAGAAAAGTACGACCTGTAATCTAGAACGGATGAGTATATCCTGATCCATAGGCCTAGCTGGATGCACACCAACCACACGCACACGGCTCTAATAGAAAAAACAGGGGAGCACGTTCTAAGCTAGGATTTCATCTGGCTGGATCACACGTTACACGTAGTTATATATATATATACCCTAACAAAGGAGGCCTGATTAGATTCCAGCCTAGATCATATCGCTGATTCACTGATCAGAGCTAGCTAGCTTGTCTGCAAATAAAAGTCAAATGGGATTGGGGACCTGCAGTAGCTGGTGGTGCTAGTTGCTGTAAGGAAGGAATCCGAAGGTGCATGCCTGTCTCGCTAGCTCTGTTGCACGGCCGGGTTAGGTCATCTTAGCTGTGTTCGTACATGATCCACACCGTCACCGTGTGCTAATTAGCGTCCAAGTGACGCAAAAGCTAGGAAGATGAGATACTAGTACAACACATACCAGTACACCCCGGCCTCAGCTTTTTCATTAACTATAAGTGCTGACATATTGCACGTATAGGATGACTTATCAACATGGTTACTGGTTAGTATATAATTCCCTAAAAAAACATGGTTAGTATAACATAGCAAATGTCCAAGGAAGTGTATCTTAATACATGTTGGGAGTGGCATATGCCCATCATCGACAATGAGACGTTTATTTATCAATCTTAAGATCTGTCGACTAGCTCATAAAAAATATTTATGTGTATTTGTAGGCGTCTCCTATACCGGCCGTGTAATTCGAAGCCAGTGTGATGGATGCAGGAGCCTTAATCAAGCTTATGTTGGCTTGATGATCGATGGCAACCGTACAGTTTACACGGTGTCGGTGTGGTAAGTTGTCCCTCCAGTCCGGTGAAAAGAAATTCTAAAACTTGATAACGAATTACCTTTTGTACATTGATTGTGAATGCTTACAAGTGGTATATATGAGTATGGTATGAAAGGCATTTGTTGTATTTTGTAGATATTGCCTCTTTCTTAAAAAGAACGACTTTATATGTTTCAAAGTTACACTACTGTCAATTTGACTAAATTTATAAAAGAAATGTGTCGATATTTCTGATATCAAATTGGCACCATTTAATTTGTCATGTAATATAGCTACATATAGTATGTCATAAATGTTGTATTTTTTCATAAACTTAGCAAAACTTATCATAGTTTGACTTTGACTAAATCTATAAGGTTATTCTTTTTAGGATGTAGGAAGTATATATATTATAATAAGAGTAAAATACACCATAGGTCTATTAACTTTTAGAGAGGTGTCATCTGGGTCCATCAACTCTCAAAGTGCATTTTTGAGTCCCTAAACTTTCTATCATATGCACTGCAGGTCCATACCAGTTCGAGAGCTTGGTATTTTTTCATTGAGCCCATCCCCTTCTATAACTCTCTTTCAAAATAGCCCCCGCAGAGAGAAAGTGAGAGGATCAACGGTTGCAGTCATCGCCTACGAGGTCCCGCGTGCACTGCGCCATGCCGTAGACGTTCATGAAGGGTGTCACCGCGGCTGAGCTGACCGCCAACATCCGCGGGGATGCGTACGCCGCCCTCTCCATGACCTTGCCCATAAGCGCGCCGAGCCGCGCCTTGAACTGCTCCTGCTGCGTCGCGTTCTGCGAGTTCACCAAGGAGACCACAATCGACGCGTCGACGGCGCCGAAGAAGCTCTCGATGAAGTGATGCAGCTGGCACGCGTTGTAGATGAGTATGGTGCTCTTCTTGCAAGGGCACACTCTGGTCATGTCCTACGTCGAGCCATCAAGGCACGCGCGGCAGTCTGACGCGTTCACGTCGGCGTGGCACTGTGCGAGGCCGTACGCCTGGTCGGGCGCGGTGTTGATGGTGTTCGTGGCGAACCCTGTGGACACGGTGGCGGCGGCGGCGGCGGGAGCGATGTTGTTCGGACATACTGTGTAGAATGGCTTGTCGGTGTTGGCTATTGTTGCAAGGACGTTGAGATTGGCCTTGGGCGGCTCTGCGCGGCCGCCTGCTTGCTCGGCTAGCGACAGCCTGGCTGACGACGTGGCTGGCCTCGCGCGGCCGCCCGCTCGCTCGGCGACGGTGTGGCCGCGTGGCTGCCAGGCGCGGCCACCAGTCTAGGTTCAAGCCCGCCTTGCGCGGGCGTGTCATGGATGGTCCACTCACCCAACAACGACGGGCTACAGACAGGGCCACCTGATCAGATTCTCTCTGTTGGGGCTATTTTAAAAGAGAATTATTGAAAGAAGGGCTCAATAAAAAAATATAAGCTCCCGAACCAGTATGAAGTTGCGGTGCACAACATAAAAAGTTTAGGGACCAAAAAATACAGTATGAGAGTTGATGGATCCAAATAACACCACTCTAAAAGTTAATGGACATGTGGTGCATTTTACTCTTATAATAAAATAGTAGTTAAAGTCTGAAATTGCTTTAGAAAATTCTTTAAACATTATTTACCTATGGAAGTGTAACCTAGGTAAGACTTTGTAAGGGCCTGTTTGGTTCTTTAGTCCATGGACTAAAGTTTTAGTCCACCTTTAGTCCATGGACTAAAGTACTGTTTGGTTACTTAAACTAGTATGGATTAAAAGTAATAAATGTTGTGGTAGGATGACTCATTTACCCCTACCTGTTGTCCCAGGCAATCTGATTCTGGCGCGACCACGCTATGGCGCCAAAATAGTTGAGAAATGTCCAGGCGACCTGATACTAGAGCCAAGACCACGCTACTGGCGCCAAAACAGTGGAGAAATGTCCCAGGCGATCTGATCCTAGCGCCAAGACCACGTACTGGCGCCAAAACAGCGGAGAAAAGGCAAAACATGGAGTCACGGAAGCGCCAAGACCCTATTGTCCCAGGCGATATGAAGGTCCTGGCGCCAAGACCACGCTACTGGCGCCAAGACCACGCTTCTGTTTTCATACACATTCAAACACATCTTCATACGCATTGGAAAATATTCATACAAAACTTCATACACATTCAAACACTCATTCAAACGGAGGAAATTGTCCATACAACAATAGCACACGGCAAACATAACATCACCATTAAACAATAGACATCTATGATCTATTGAACAACCCATCGGCTATCCAATCACAGAATTGATTCATGGTTTGATCTTCATCTCCATGACGTGTATTAGATACTTGAGAAGACGATGCTTCCGAGAGTGGAACAAAGTTCTCATCACTATCAACCAAATCAAAGTCCGCATCCCCCAAATAACTATCTCGAATGAAATTGTGTAGTGCCATGCACGCAATAATTATTTGACTTTGCTTTGGCATAGGATAACTAGGTAGGTCAAGCAATATTCTCCACTTCATCTTTGAAACTCCAAATGACCACTCAATGACATTACGAAGTGAAGAATGTGCATAATTAAATCGTTCTTTTTTACCTCTTGGCATTGGTCCTTGTCTAAACTCCGGGATATGGTACTTAGTTCCCTTGTATGGTGCAAGATAACCCAGTCGGTTTGGGTAACCCGAGTCAACAAGGTAGAATTTTCCTACACATTGAAGTCAAAATGGTTTAAGCAAGTCACATGCCAAGTATTGCAATAATGAGACAACATAGAAAAGAAAAAATCAATACCTTCAGGTGGATGCGGAAATTTGTCTCCAAACTTGTCATTGGCATCTTTGAATACCCTCATATCATATACTGATCCAGGCCATCCCGCCACGACAAAAGTAAACCTTATATCAAAGTCGCATATAGCCATCACATTTTGACTTGTATATCCATGCCGTCACATATGTTGTACTACCTTGCTAGTTGGTACTACAACAGGGATATGTGTCCCGTCTATTGCTCCAATGCAACTGTCAAAGAACGGTGTGAAGCGAGGGGCTTGCAATCTAGGATGGACTGTCACTGTGGGTCCTTTGGCTTAATGATATCAACTGCTAGCTTGGTCACACTCTATAGAACTTTATCAAACTTCCTACACAATGTCTCCAGTGACCTTGTGAAATGATCTTCAGATTGTCGAATAGACTGAGGGGCACCACATATCCATAAAAACAGCCCTAAAGCCTCCATAGATGACATTCTCCTAGTGGAATTCAATCCATATGACCCAACTAGCACACTATGGAGCCCCATAAAAATGCCTTCACTCATCCTAAACATATTGAAGCAAGCTGTCCTACTTCTTAGTGTCTTCATAACCCAATCAAAACCACTCTCTATAACTACTCTATAAGCCGCTTTGTTCATGTAAGTGTCAAAATGGTACATACCCATCACGGTAGCAGCTATGGTTATGATTTTCCTCCTCTTCTTCCGAGACTCGAATATGTATGTTTGTACTCTTCGATCATAATCATCTCTATCATCTTCTTCCCATTGATCATCATTAGACTCATCTTCTTCTTCCTACAAGATGGAATAGGAACATGTCAGTGTTCTCAATTGCTTCTAGAACCACAAAAGCAAGAACCAGAAAGCATAATCAGAAAACATCATGTTGAAACAGTACCACAAAGCATCATGTTGAAACAGTACCACAAAGCATAATGTTGAAACATTCCCACAAACAAGACATAAAACATGTTCTGAATACAGTAACAAGTCTTAACACAGTAACATCACCATCAAACAAGACTTAGCATTAAAGGTCTTAAAACATGTTCTGAATAATAAGGTCTTAAAACTAGTCCTAAGCATAAGGTCTTCAGTAGTTATTATAATCCTGGACTGCTTTCTTCAGCCAAGTTAATCGGTCTTCCTTAGTGTCCATCATGTTGAAGACCATCTTGTTGTACTCAGAATGAAATAGTCTTGTTGCAACATAAAATTCTTGTGTGTTTGGTCCTGCTCCAGCATCCTTGATAAAAAACAAGCATATATTTATGTCTTCTTGAGCCTCTTCCTTCTTCTTCTACGACTCCATCTCCCTCATTTTCTGCCTCTTCTCGAACTCTTCCTCCCTCATTCTCTGTTTCTTTAGTAACTCCTCCAGCTCCTCCTTCCTCTGTCTTGCCATTTCTACCAGTGCTTGTTCATCCTTAGTTCTACTAACCTACAACTCACTTATAAGCCCCTGGAACATCTTCATCATTGGGCTCTTGCTCTTCTTAGCTGGACTTGCGGCTGTGTCTACTATACTAGTTGTTCTCTTGCGGCTGTTACTGCTTAGTGGGCTATGTACAAAGCCTTCTCCTTCTAGATCTTCACCCTCCTCATCACCAACACCTCTTCTTGTTGATGCAAAGAACCAAGGATGCAAGAAGATGATCCATCAACTATTACCCTATGAAACATCTCTGCAAGTTGTTCTACATAAGTAGGAACACCATGCATGAACTTCTTGCATTCATATCTTCCCTGAAAAATAGAAACAAGTAATTAGAAACATAGCAACAAGAAAGAAAACAGTACATGGGAGTGAAAACTGATTCAGCTACCTCTAACTCCCTTTTCCACCATGCAGCTAATGCTATGATAGTGCCATCAGGTCTTCGACCTAGTGTGGTACTAGTATTCAACATAGTCCATAAGGAGTACAAAGTCTTGCATTGAGTCCATCTGTTCCTCAATTGCTTGACACTTAAGTTTGGTCCAGTCTTTAATAGAAAACCTTGTCTCATCATATTATACCCTCTACGTGACATTATACCATGCAAGCAATTCCCTGCCCTTATTTGTTCAACTGCTAGATCATAGTAAATATGAGTGTTTTCCTCAGTCCAACTCGCCTTGTCATATGCAGTCACCTAGCATTCAGAAGCATTCACATTCATCTACAGGGCAGCAATCTGTATCCCTCTAATGTTTATAAGATGCATTCACAAAAATACTCAGCATCACATTCATCTAGCATTCAGAAGTTGTGGCTAGCATTCACAAAAAAAACTAAAAATAGCTAGCACTCAGAAGCATGAAAAAAATACTCAGCATCACATTCATCTAGCATATAGAATTTGTGGCTAGCATTCACAAAAATACTCAAAATAGCTAGCATTTAGAAGCATGTCAAAAATACTTAGCATTAACATTCATCTACAAGGAACAGGTCCAAGTTGTGGCTTACCCCCTGGGAGTCTTCATCTTCATCCTCATCGGTGCTAATTTCCTGTGGATGGTCGAAGTTGTGGCCGCCACCGCGTCCACCGACTCTACCTCCCCCACGGGTCCCCCCTCTACCTCCACGGCTACCAACAGCTCCACCGCGTCCTTGTACTCTGCCTCCGGTGGATCCGATGGACCTCGCTCGACGACCTCCACGAGCTCTGCCACGACCAAGCCCTCTGCCTGTAGGGGCACGAGGAGGAAGGGGATAGTTCACTCCATCATCCCTGGCCTAGAGGAACTCTTGGTACAAGTCTAGGTTGGGGAACACGTCGGCCTGCGAGTTCAAGTCGAGGTTTTCCATGTGCCGACGGGGAACGGAGAGGCTGTGAGCTAGCTGTGAGGTGAAGGGCCCGAAATCATATTCATCGCTGGCGTCCTAGGAGGGGAGGAAGCTTCGGATACCTTGCGACGAAGAACCTTGAGAGAAAAATTCACGGTAGTTGTCCATGGTGTTGGGGAGGGCCGGGATGAGGTTGATCCGGCGTGGGGAGGTAAGGAGGCCGTGGATCCAGCGTTGTGAGGGGCTTGGGTGGCGGATCAGGCAGGGGGAAGAAGGATGTGGTGGGGGGCGGCTAGACCTAGATCCTGTACTTGCGTCGGGAGCAGGGGTGGGGAGGAGCAGCGGGAAAAGCGGGGAAACAGGAGGGGGAGCGGCCGGTGAGAGCGGGGAAG